GAGCCTCCCTCCTTATACCATAACTGCGGTTATAAGGTCGAAAAAACTCCTGGATAGGGCATAATAAGGGGCCAGGGAGTGTTCGTGTGAATGCCACACCCCCGTTAGGCTGACTATGAAATCTAATTTCCGTGAACCGGTGTTCGCATTGGAGCAACTTTGGTGAAAAATCAATCAGGAGGTCCTGGTAGTGTAATTTATTATATTTAAGACTATTCTCACATTACACTGTTGCTCCTTGTGACTAACATTGTTCTGAATAATTGCTGTGATCCAGTAGTAATAAATAAGAGAGTTGCATAGAATAAAACCACATATGTATAGATATCAGTTCATGGGAAAACAATTTTGAACATTTTTGGCTTAATGTAGTCAGCTGAACGTAATGACACTAGATAACCCTTCCATGCAACTTTTGTGGTCACATTCTCGTCCAACACCTAATTTTAGTACTTTTTTGAAGCCATATATCTCTCCGGATACGCCGTTTTTCACGTTTTCTTCCTCACCATTGCCCTGTTCTCTGCTGTTATTTTCATTAGTGGTCGGAAACCGAGTACCTCGAAATTACTGTGAATTACATCTTTAAAGCCCCTAGTTCCAGGAGAGAAGAACGTACTATGAGATATTTTGTAGGAGTCAAACGAAGGTCCCATCTGTCAGCTTTTTTCGGGCTCAAAACAGAAGTCAAATGCCGATTAGGGACAGTATATTCACCTTCGCTCTTTGAATCCTGAGGAAAGATGACAAGATTGCTTTTTAGAAGTGACTCACTTAGTAAGACACTGTGAGGTGTCCATCTTAGGGAGAACTCTTCGGCGGAACCATGGTCCGAAAACGAGGTCGTTATATACAAACATGCCGGCAATTAGAAGAGCGAAGCCGATCAACTAAATCGAGTTCGTTGAACTCAACAGTTCTAAAAAACTACAAACTGAACATTGAGAAGCAACCAACCTGTAAGGGGATAAATTTTTGCCCAAAAAGTGGCATTTCGGCCGCCCAAATCAATATGACTCGAACGCTATCAAGCACAGTTCTGGTTGTAGCTGACAGGTTTTTGGATACCGTCAATCCAGCAAAATTGAAGAAAGCAATACTGAAATTATAAGAAGAAGATCCTTAGCACCAATCGACACCATCATGATAATCTTAGAGGCCTTTCACAAAACTAATGAGGAATCATTTTATTCGTTTTGATACATATCAATCATTTCTACACTTTGAACAGTCATCAGGAAGGCAAATGCGCGTCGAATCCTCGCTCAGGCTACACATCCTTTCCGAGCCCCGGCATCGCTACATTGGCAATATGCACTGATTTCTAGGATCAGTCGAAGTACCGATTGACCTGGCTGAAATCCGCAGTCATCATCTGTCAGCGATGACTTCAACCTTACTTTGGGCAAGCTCACCTTCGTCAAAATCTGATCTATAGAACGACCACCCACAAATAAACGTATGCGTACAATGCAACAAAGAGGCTATAATATCCTTCGAAATGCTATACCGTAAACACGTCACCTATGGGCTGCTTAGGGAGCAGGTTTGCTCTTGCTACGGTCTTGGCTTGCGCGAAGTAGTGAGAATCATCTTAGGACACAGGCTCCTTAGCTTCACAATCAACCATTAGAGGTTTATCTCTATTTCAAGAATTTTCTAAGGCCCGTCTTAGACTTGATGAAGAACTGACCTGATTGTCGTTCCACCCAAAGCGGCTAGAATCATTGGTTGGACTTTAATTTCTTTGAATGCGTAAAGGACATCCTGTAAAAAGAAAACAATTCTCGAGCTGCTGAAAAATGGCGGTTTCTGAACCTAGAACTATTTAAACAAATCGCTCCTTCAGTGTCTGGTTATACACTTTTCTTTTATTCGGGTATTTTTTATTTTCATCCAAGTAAGCTTTTGAATCAGATTCAAATGCAAGCAGTTCTAATGATTAAGGCTTAGCCTGAGACCCAAATCGAACACTTCGCCCTTACCCGGCTTAAACTTTTTCTGTTTTTGGCCGTCGCTTTAGTAAGCTAGTATTATCCATGAAATCTGACAGACATCAATACCCATTAAATCATGTTTTCGGCCATCGCTTGAAGATTTATTAACCCCTTTTTCCATAAGTCGTTCAGGAGCTTCACTTACTTCGAGGCGGTGTTCTGGATTCGTAGAAAATGTAGGTGGCACGTGGATATAATACATCGGAACCATAGCAGCGCAAAGAAGAATGATCCCGAAAATCCCTGAAATCACTCCCTTTTTTAAGGAAGCTGCAACCAATTTCAGCTATGAAACATGAGCTGGTCAGCTCTGAGCGAATGAGCTGGTAAGCCCATCATCAATGAATGAGTCAGGCCTAGCTCTGTGCCTGTCTTCTGGAGATGTTTGATAAAAAGGTAAATATTGAGCGTGATGATTGGTTTCTCATTTAAACACACGGTCCTTTACTAGACCTTATTTCAAAACGCAAGAGCCACTGAATCCATTGCGTCTTCCTGTTGAGTCGCGGCAGCCGATAGTTGCTGATAAGAGAACTCAGGAACCCGATCTTTTCGGTTCTTTCCACTATGCGAAGATGACAGTAGTAGCGATGGGAGCCATAAAAGCTAATATGATTATAACAGCGTTCGGTTTGTTCCTTACTATTATGCTACTGTAGTGCTGTTAGACACAATCAGAAACCGTGTTTCTTCAGTTCCGGTTCTATGCCAGTTGAAGAAAACCTATCCGTCATGAACATCTGGAAATTTCGACCTATGTTTTATAACCGTAACGATAAGAAAAGCCATGAGAAACCCATTGTTATGTGGTTCGTCAAGTACTGTAGTCTGTGCCAAAATGTATGTATGTTTGTATGCATGCATGTATGTGTGTGTATGTGTGACCGGTATGTAATAACATTTTAGTTTTTGGCATCCCATTCAAAAAAAAAGGAGGATGGAGTGAAGGCAAAGACGGCCGGCAGTTGAAACTGATAACAGTTGCGACTAAGTAAGTTAGTAAGCTCTCAGAATGAAAGGGTTATAAGTAAATGATCATGGAAGTCAAAAATCGCGGAATTATGGTGAAGTTCCTGGTTCGGGATGCCCAGATTGCGTCGAAGAGCAAATACTCTACGAAAGCAAGCGGGACTATTACAGAGCAGCGCATTCTGCCCTGTCACAGACGAAAATTCCGCATGTAGCCTGTCTCCACTTCGGTACACCTCATCCTAACCCAGCGCCACGCGCTCAGTGCTGTCAAATGTTCTCCAAGAGCAGTCAAGAACGGCTACTCGATTTTGTTAACATGTGCCGACTATTTGAAATGTTATTATTTCCTAAATTACGATTCAACCCACAATAGCTCGACCCACTAGCTACCTCTCGAATTTCTGTTGCGTCCCGAAGACGGATTGGCTCTTGCAACCACTTGATACCCCTTTCTATGTGTGCTGCCTTTGCATTCAACAATACATTGCGAGGGGATGACTTGAATATTGATATGGTAGCAATAATGGTTTAGAGACTCATAAAATAGGACGGGAATAAGATCATCACTTTGGGATCTGTGTAGTAAATTGGTCGGCTTGAATGGAACAGAATTCTAAAGTGCTCTTGTTTTCATTGCATTTTTTTCTAATTTTGCACTTCCTGTAAGAAAAGCTTAGGGCCGTGGACTAGGAAAATCAGAAGGAAATGAATCAGAGGACAACTGGCAAAAGTTTATGGAGCCATGACTTTGTTTAGAATGAACTACGATCGCGAAGTACTTTATATTCACAAAAGCTGATTTGATACTTACCTACCGAACAAAACAAAACAGGAACCGTGGTTACATATTTCCATAAAAGAAGTCCATCTCTTCTAAGATCGAGGCAAAAATATGCTTACCTTCAATCCCTACGGCAAAGAGCGGATCCACATTGTACTGACGTAAATATTTCTGCTCAGAGACAAGCTGTACGGCTACGAAAATTTGTGAGATAGCGCAAAGGAAGTCACCTAAATCCAGTGGAATCACTTGCAGGAATGGCTAAGCAAGGTCAAATCAAGGGCCTACCTATAATCACATTCGATTGTTCTCCCGGTTCATCCCCACTAAAATAGATGTCCGTAAGACCGACAACTGCCAAGCCAGCCACACACAATATCATTCCGGACCATTGGAAGAGTTTAATCCGTGCACGGAGCCACACAATGGACAAAAGTCCTGTGCAAACGATCAGGGCACCTGAAGACCATCCATCCCGTTTTTTAGTTCATTTTCGACCGAGCAACATTTCCAAAGCAGTCTCTTTATCGCGACGTCTACGAAAGTGTCACTGTATGCACAGAGGTACTGACTGATTCAAGCGTAATTAGACTGGAATTCCATTTCTTTTAGAATTTTCTTGTAACCCCAATTTCGTGATGAGGGTTCAATCTAACATTTCCATCCCAGGGCACTCCGTGTCGAGGAAAAGGAGTGCGTTTCGTTGCGCGCTTCCGTCAAAACTAGGTCGCGCCGCAGCCGTCGCATGCGACGCGTCAGCGCGCGATCTTTGACAAACGTCGCAGTGTCAGTGGAGCATACGATTTGCGCTTCGTCCACGGCAGTCAGTCAGAGAAAAGATAGCACGGACAAATGCAAATTATTCGCTCCACTGACACTTGGTGGTACTGCAATGTCATCTCGAAACCTCAGTGTGATGCGCCGCGCGCGAAGTGGGCGGGGTGACCTACCCGTCGGTACTTCCGACGGACGCGCGCAACGAACGTTCTCCAAATAAAAGACAAAAACGTTTAGAAGCGCTGTTCGTACCGCAACTGAGCGCGCTTGCCTAATTTGTGAGGTTTACCTCATAGAACTGTTCATAAGAACTATCCAAGATTACTCTACTCACCAGTTATTTAACTATGCTCTTCATGGAAACCTCACAGTCTATCGGGTCTACTTCATAAATCAGATAAAAACAGTCATATGGATCGTACCTCGAAGCATCTGGTAACTGCTAGCAGAGGTCAATGTCAGTCCGACGTATGAGACCGAAGTGGCAATGATATCACACACAGCTGCTGGTAGGAACACAAAAGGATTGAAACGAGGTATTCGGGGTTCATCCTCCGGATTAGCTGAAAGTGTAAGTAAGTACCACCACGACACTGATTCGTAATGTCTAGTCATAGTAACACATAGTAGTAGGAGGTAAACTGTTTGGTCACAAGTTGAAAAGTAAAGATGACATATTTGTCGGCAGCTGGAGGCTTGCAAGATCAATGGTCGCCTTCCTCCTTTGCCTGTTCTCACCCTCTCTCGCTATTCCAGAATTGCCACAACATGGGGCACTGGAGCCGAGCGAATTAGAACATGCTATCAAAGAACATGGTCACTCAGGTTGGCCTACACCCAGATCAACCAAAGTCGTTGTATATTGAAGGGAACTGCGATTTATGTGAGGAGGGATCGAGGCATGATCTACTCCAACACCCATGATTACGATCAGTTTTTGTTAATCACAATAATCTTCAGCTTCTAGGGGATCGCTCCACATGAGGGGGAGTTAGGTTCTATTGTGATGAACGAAGAATTTTTGTTAGTATGCGGGCAACATCAATAAATATGCTGTTGGCAACAGGATCTCACACTGATTGTAGCACCGATTAACACGAGCAGCTTTGGATCAACTTGTCCCACTAGTGGATCAAAGAACTTACTTTTTTGATGAGATTGATTTGGGCACCCAAATCTTCTCAGTCATTGAAAGCAGGCCTTTAATCCCTATGAATCTCGGCAGGCATGATAACTGCATGCATACGACACTTGGTTTTTGCCACTGATGACTTTGATGGGTTCTCTTTCGAAAACTGAAAGTCAGAGGAAAGTAAAGGCACAAGGCGGGTTGCTGAACTAGCGAAGATTTCACTTAGACTTAGTATTGCCAGATCATGTCGAGTTTATAGCTAACAAAGAGAATCATACAGGAAGTTCATTCCGATCTGAATCTTATTCAAAAGCAACATTTCGGCTTTCGAAACGGAAAGTTTCAAGTTTGATCAAGTGTAGACACCGCTAGTGAAAGAGATCATCTTCAAATCGTGGCCCACAGCATGATGTTGGGAAAGGGCAGGCTTGTCTGGGCTCGATCGCGTTTGGGCGATCATTACTATTCTAGAAATAGGGAGGCTCTTAAAAAGGTTCTCAACTACAGTGCGCGTCAATTGCATATGCCATCCCCTATT